GAGTGTTCTATTTTAAGGTCAAATATTTTTATTTTTTTTTACACTTGTCTCTCCAACCTATACACTTAAATATTTTTCTCTAGATGTCTCTTTCCGCTCAGCAAACTTACAACATTTTGTAAAAGAAAAATGAAATAAGATTCCATAGATAAAATTAGAAGAAATATATTAATATTCAGTGGTACAAAGTACGTGCTTTACCTTAACACTCATATTGGCTTCTTCAAAAAGCCAGTGTAAAAAATTCCCTTACTTTATCCGCAGATACACATACAAAAATCCAAACCTAACAACGATCGAATCCTTAAACATACGCTGTTTTTTTTGTTTCCACCATAATCCTAAACTCCGTTGAAGAGACACCCATTCTTGTCACCATGCATGAAATTCTTTGTTTGTTCTTCTTTTCTGGGTGACTTTCATGATCTAATCCATGATTGAACAATGTCCAGAGAGGCGAATGAAAGGTGCAGTCATTTTCTTATCCCTTATATATTGTCCAACTCCCAACACCTCTATGTTCCTACTTAGCTTCACATCATACTATAGTTAACTACAAATTTTTATTTTGTTGTTTGCATATATAATGGAGAGAATAAAATGTACTGAAAGTATAAAATAAGGTTTAAGAAAAGTTCTATACATATATAGCAACATGTGATTGAAGGAGAGTGTAAAAACTTATTTATAATAATAACTTTAATACTTTTTTTTCCTTTAATAATATTGTCTCTATATGAGAAGAAAAATAATTGGTTGATTTACTGAGTAAGATTTTATTTTTTCCCCAGTATTCTGTTCTTTTTTTAAAAAGTTATTTAACTTTTCACAATTGAAAAAAAAAATGTGATATCGAGGTATGTTATGTAAATAAATTATGTAATTTTTTTTAAGCTTTTTGTTCATTCTAAATAATTATTTTATAAAATCGGTTCATGATTCTTATTTAATAACATAAATTATAATAGAGAGGCTAATCTTATTCTATAAGAAATATTTAATGAGACGTTATGATGGTTTACTGTGAAGAATATTATTGTCGAGAGACAAAACTCTAATTCTTTTTATTAACCAATGTCCATTAAATTGATTATCATAATGTTTTATTTTATTTTATCTTTATTTTATTTTGATTTTTCATAATAATCAATAAGTCCTTATATTTTATTAAATCACATTTGAACCTATTATTATATTTTACATGAATCACATAATAAAATTAATTAATTAAATTAATTTTAATATTTTCCCACTTAACTCATGTCATACTAAATTTAATACTTAAGACATAACATGTATTAAATGACCTTATATAAATTAGTTCTATCATTATTTATAATTAAATATATAATTATAATAAGAGTCATGACAGTTACATATTATTTAATCGATATACTATTATATTATCTATTTCTCCTCAATGACTTTATAATTTCTAATTGTTTAAAGATATATAAGACATATTAAAATAATATTATTGAAATTAAAAAAATAATTTTTAAATTTGAAAGACAAAAAATATATTTAAATTTTAAAAATAAATTTTTTTTATTAATTATTGTAAATTTATTATTATTTTAATGATTTGTAATTTAAAAATTGAGACTAAGATAATATATATATATATATATATATATATATATATATATATATATAATTTTTAAACTCAAAACGGTTTTAAAGGATTAAGACTCGAAAATAGATGATATTAATAATATTATAAGAACATTTTCGTTCTTTAATACAACACTTATGATTTAGTTATTTTATTTGAATTGAAGGGAAGGAAAAGTTTTCTTTAAAAGGTACGAGATACACACTGAACAATATAAGGATAAATCATTTGTAAGCACCACTTATGGCTATATATCATCAATATTTTCTTTTGGGGGCGTTAAATAGTATTAAAATATGTACTTAAATTAATCTTGATCATAATTATACATTAAATCATGTATTACATAAACTATAATTAATTAGAAATGAAAACTCTTTTTTGCGACATATATGTGTGTCCTGAGAGGTGGGAAGTTGATTAGGTGGATGAAGGGTGAAGGGTGGTGGCGTCCAAACAAGGAACACTCCTCCACCTTCAAGCTTTGTTGCAATTTTTACGTCACGGTTGACCCTTTCAAATTTACTTCCTCCATGCACTCGGGACCCACATCACATGCCTCCACCAACACACCGATCAAACCTAGGGTCACATATAGGACCACCCTTTTTTTTTTTTTTTTTTTTTTTAAATAATTTACCCTCTACATCAAACATATCTAAACTCCCAATTAAAAAGAAAAAGAAAACTCAAATAAAGTATCAAGAATGAAGCACAAGCTTCAAATGGAATCTCGTAAAATAAAAAACCACCCACTTAATAGTATTAATAATAATAATAATAATAATAATAATAATCACGATTAGGATAAATCAAAAATTAAAAGTAAGGGGACAAAAAAAGCGTCCCATTCCTCCAACTTGGACTGGGACCCTTTTCCGAAATGGTGTTTGGCATTTGTGAAAGGGCAAGGAAAACAAATTTTGGTTTCCTTCCGAATTAAATATTCACACATGGTGTATGGTTTACGACATTATTATGGAAAAACTGAATTACCCGTTTTTTAAATTTTTAATTAGGGTGCATAATACGCGGTGGTGTTGATGATTAGGGACCGTTTCGGAGAGAGGTGGACCAGTCCCCATCACCGTACACGTGTACAATGATGGGTTCGAAGAAATAGAAGACGTACACACGATCACAAAGTGCAGAATATCACAGAGAGAAGAGGGTGCCATGTGCGACCCTGCAAGCAAATGAATGCAGGATTATCCACTGTGCTCACGCTCAATGCTCAACCCGTACACCCCCACGGTAAAATCCTCTTTTGTTTTCTTCTTTTGCTTTTCAGATTACGTGTCGTGCATCATCTTATTGGTTCTTCGTGGGGTTGCTTTCTCTTACTTTTTTTATTTTTTATTTTCTTTTGTTATATTATTATTATCAAAGGAAATCTTCATTTTTTATTTATTTAATTAAGGAATACATTGACCCAGATGCATATGCTTTGATCACACATGATAGAATATCGAAAAATTCTCTTGGGGGGGTTTAATTTTTATTTTTGGCTTTTAACCTTTAACGCAAAAGTGAAGGATGTTAATGTTACGAAGCAGATCCAATCATACGGCACAGCTTTTTAGGGACGCTCTCTTTAATCATGTTTTGTCTTTTTCTTTTTTAGCATCAGATTTTATTAAAGTGGTAGAAAAGGTCGTAAAGGAATGGAAACACAAACATACCTACTAGTACTACTAAACCTACCAAAAATTCATGCACCACTACTACTCCATGCCAATTCCACAACTCTTCGTTTACTAAACAAATTACTTATTACAACGAGTCTTAATCTAATTATAATCCAGATTTATTCATGATTTTTTATTAATCCTTGTTGATTGCTCCTTAGTTATTTCCCATATGCAGTTTTTAAGTGATTGATCTGTTGGTGTTTGGCACTTATAATCAATTATGAATATTTAAATATTTTAAGAGTTACGTTGATAATGACACTGTTTCTTCGCATGCAAATTAACTTTTTTTAATAATCATCAACGACACCAAGTCTATGGTTAGATGAAATTTTAATAATGTAAACTGTTAAGAAGTAACTTTCAAGGGTTAAAAACTAATTTACTAATTGTTTGTTACCTGCATTTTTTTATTTAGCAAAATAGGCAAATTTAAAAAAAAATAGATTTTTGATTAATTCTAATTAATTATAATGATAATAATTAAAATATAAAAAGTTGTTGAATCAAGTTGTGAAACTCATGAACCCATGAACATTAAATACTTACTGAATGTTGTATATGAGAATCTAACACTTATCCCAAAGTTTTTGTTAAAACATGTTTAAAAAGTCAAAAGTAATTGTACTGAGGTCAATCAATCTATTTGAAGATCATAATTTGAATAAATTTTATGTAAGGGAGGAAAACAATACAAGTCATAGTCAAGAAATTAGGATGTGCTTTTAGCTTATAAGAAAAACTTAATAATATAAAAACATTCTATATTCATTCTTTATCACATGTTATATTCGTTCATTGAAACCATGCAAGCTTATGCCTAAAATCTTAAAGATAAATTTATGTATAACTTTCTTGAAGATATGAAGGCAACAATATTGCAACCTGAAAAGCTTATATCCATCATTGCTTATATTTGTTTTTCGCAATAGATTTCATGTGTGTATGTGTGTGTTCTATTGGGGTTCTTTGATTCTTTTCATATTAATCATTCTTTATGGAAACTCTATGATCATGATTTTTCATAACAGTATGCATTCAAGAAAGAAATGAAAGATGGAAATCTTTTAGCATCCAGAAATTGAAGGTAAGTTATGAAAGAAAAAAAAAAAGTGGTTGCTGGTGGTAGGAATGGAGGATTATTTTGTCCTTGTTTGTCTTGAAATGCTGACAAAGATAGTGGGGAGCAAAGACGTCATCAACCCAAGGGGAAGGTCACGGATTCACCCTCTCAATTCTCCTCTGCTATCACAATTATATTATTATATATATAATAACCTCTTCCTCACAATCATTTATCATACTATTACTATCATATTACGCCCATTATTTTCAAAATAATACTCTAAATGAGATAATAGAAAAATGTGAAGTGAGACCAAAAGAAAAAATTCACGCAAATCTCTGTGGTAATCAGAACCAGTTTTGTTGAAAATTTTGATCATGACTTCAAAATGGGTGTACTCTATTTTCCTGTATTTGATTTATTTTATCAATTGAAAAACTCTTTTCTTGTAAACATCTCTTTCATGTAATTGTTAATTGTTGTGACCTGAAGAGTGAAAGGGTGGCTACACAATAATTTTTTTATTCCGTACAATCCAAAAAAAAAAAAGAGGCACAAAGAAATGGTTTAATTTGATTGTAGATTTGGATTCATTAGTTACTAGTATACCCTCACAATAAACTGAGTCTCACTGGATATAAATCGGGGTTTTAAAAGATTATGTTCCACTTAAAAATCCACTTTTTAAGATGTTACATAACATGTAACAACCAGATTAATTACTCTTTAAAGACTTTCAACAAGCTAACAAAAAATAATAAATTTTCTAGTTCATAATAAAAACTTACATTAAAGATTAATGTAATTGATGAAAATAAAATCCAAATTATGATTGAAAAAATATGAAAAACACTCATCTGGATCTAAATATTCTTCAAAGCCCCTTAAATTTCTAATTTTAACCTTTGAAACTTACTCTTACTTCTTTTATATATAAAAAAAAAGAGAGAGAAATGAATCTACATAAATACAAGAAGCCAAAAACAAAAAAGTGGTGTGAGAGAAAAAAAGGTAGAAGCAAAGCACAGGTGAATTTTGGATTTTTACAGCATAGATTGATAGATTTGATTTCATTGGGACCTAATCATTATTATTATTAATATTATTATAATAATTATTATTATTCATAAATTACCCGCACGCCCGAGAGATTTATGATTATTATTATTTTTACCCTTTTCTCGTCATCAACCTCTCTTCTCCGACCCCACCCCATGCCTGCTTCAACCCCTCCATCTCTTTCTCTCTCTCTCTCTTTCAAACTCTTCAAATTTTTTCTCAATTCTTCGATCTTCACCATGCCAACCCTTTTCTTTTTTACAAAGCTTCTTTCTCCATTACTATACACCTTGCAAAATAATGCCTTATTCTTCTCTCTATTCCCTCTTCTCAAGAAGGTGGTCATCATCATTCTTCTTCTTCCTTTTTTTTCTCTTCTGTGTTCCTCTTCTTAACTCCACTCCTCTGAACAGTACCACTGCAGCGTGGGCGCTTGTTCATCCGAGAAGAAATTGCACGCCTCGTCCGCGCTCAGAAAGTTATGCTCCTCCATCTTCACGTACTGCGTCGGAAACTGTTTCTGGAACTGGAAACAGTTCATCGGAGAAGACGACGACAAAAAACTCTGACTTTGCATAACCCCAGAAGATGAATTCGTCGCGTTGTTGGGACTGTTGTCGTTGTTGTTCGCAATCTCTTCGTTCAAGATCGCGCTGGAGTCGCTGTCGGAAGAACCGTCTTTGAAACCCCCCAAAATATCATCACTCTTGTTAAAACATTCGTAACTCAAATCCTTAGACTCGGATCCAGGAATGGCGGTTTCACAAAGTGGGTTACTATCTTGCAGCGTTATCATCTCTTCCTTCACCGAAACATCGCTTTCATTGTTGCTCTCTTCTTGCAGCAGCAACCTTGATTTCAATTCCTTTATCTGCCAACACAACAAACCAACCTTTTAATACTCTCTTTCCCAAAAAGAACTCCCCTACTAAAAATTAATGACAGAACTTCAAAAAGTTAATAAATTAAAGATGAATGAAAGTGTTTTTTTTTTTTTTTAGAGCCATGAGACTCTACCTCTTTGAGTAAGGCTTCGTTGTCTTGTTGGAGGGTGTCGTAGTTGAGTTTGAGGGAATCATAATTGGCTTTGAGGACTCCATAGTCTCTTTCCAATTGCTTTGTTTTCCATCTGGCTCGACGGTTTTGGAACCAAACCGCAACTTGTCTTGGTTGCAGGCCAAGTTCTTGTGCCAGTTTCACCTTTCTGTCAGGTTCGAGTTTGTTCTCTACTTCGAAGTTCTTCTCCAAAGCCTTCACTTGATCCACGCTAAGTCTTCGTTTCTTCTCGGCGTGGTGTCCCGGTTCCTCCACACACCCTTCATCGTCTAGTCCTTCCAGCATGGACTGGAACTCCCTGCCATACACGTGGTTGTTCCTCGGACTGTGTTCGTCTGAATGCAAATCGGACATAATCATGGTTAGTGCAACTGGTCTTGTAGTTTGTCTCTTGAAACAAACGCACAAAGCATAACATGATGAGTTGTAGATTGTAATGCAAAAAATAAAGTACAGAATAAGGAATTTGGGTTAATTTAATAAAAAAAAAGGAAAGGTTTTTGTAATTGACATGGTTGATCACAAAAAAAGTTAGAGACAAGAAAAGGCACAAACACTAAACAAGCATCATGGATCTATCTGTCTGAATTTGAAAAAACCAGAAACAAAGTAAAAAAAAAAAAACGAAGTTTTGATTCAATTAACCTGTTGGTGGACAAATGGTCATGAGAGCACCCAGAGAATCGGAGCTGCCAAGTCTCTTCATGAGTGCAAACCGCGGATCTTATTAGATCAAGGAACTTAAATTTGATCTCTTTATTTTGTTTAGGCAATGTATATTAAGATCTGAAGAAGAAAAGGTGAGAGAAGGTTTGTTTTGTTTTGTGTTTTACTTAAAGGGAGGCATTGAAGACGAATTGTGGTGTCTTAAAAGGGGCCAATTTGCAGAGGAAGTACCATAGAACCACTCATTTGCATAAACTCCAATGCTTTGTTCCTTCTCTATTGACACCTCTTCTCCCTCTTCACCCATCAAACAATTCCAACACAAGGAACAAAAGAACCCACACAAGCAACAAGGAGTGGACCAATCTCTTTCTCTCACTGCACACAGTGGTCTCTTTTCACTCTCTATCTACATCATCAGTGAAGAAGGGTGAATGGGTGGGATATGAGGAGAAAAAGGAAGGGAAAGGGAAGAAAAGAAAAGAGAGAGCGTGTGAGGCGTGAGGAGAAGGGTGAACTAGTTCACAGGCGAGCTTAGGTGAGAGTTTGTGTCTTTAAATAAACCAACCTGGGTTAGAATCTGACTGGGGTTAGGTGACTGCTACTACGGTTGGCTACGAAATGAACCCAAATTCAACCCAAATGCAAGTTTTCGGGGTACCGGGTTAGCCAGTTTCACTTGAGTTTAGTGTTTTATTTTGGAGCGTTTCCTCGAGGAGCGGTATTTGGGAGGTAGCGCAGCAGAGTGTGGACAGATGAAAATGGAAACGGCGTGGCTTTCGGCAGCTTGCGTCCACTATTTAAGCCGGCTTAAGGTTTCTTCCGTCACCCTATTATTAATAATAATAATTTATTATTATTATTATTATTTTATTATACTGTCACGCGCTTCCACCAGGTGAATCACAAGTCCCTTTTCCTTATGTCACCATCTATTTTCATTTTAATATTTTAGACCATTTATTTACTATATTTTTGGTTTCTTACTCATTTATATTCATCTCTTATTTTCAAACACCTCACCAATATTCATTATTAAGAACAGTGACACTCACACCATGGATGTATGACCTTATTTTTTATTTTTTTAGTTTTTTTTTTCTGCTTTCTATGGGAATATAGTAAGTGTTTGATTAATTATTTTTTTCTCTTTATTGATATAAACAAAAATTGACTTCTGTCTATCAAAATAGTTTATAATTTTTCATTCTTATAAAATTTATTAATTTTTATAAAATACTTGTTTACATTATTTAATAATAATAATTATTTCGATATCATATAACATATTAATTCAGATCCATTTTTAATTTATTAAGACACATTTTAAAGATAAAATTATAACAAATAGAAATTTTAAATCAAACATCAGATCCATTTTTAATTTATTAAGACACATTTTAAAGATAAAATTATAACAAACAGAAATTTTAAATCAAACAATATCTTATAATGATATTATTATAATAGATATAAAATCTAAACACTTTCTTAAATAATATAATTATGAAATATTATTTTTTTATTTTAAATAAGTGATGTTTAAGTTTATTTTTACATAAAAAACTAAGAAAAAATTATCCATGAAAGATGGTCTATTTGGTAAGAAATAGAAAATGTGAGTTTCATCTTATTTTAAGGCATTACATAAATATTTTTATATGTTTATGCTAAGAATATATTTTTATTTATAAAAAAATACTCTAACACATACATTTTTTTTTACAATCTTATAAATGAAAATATGAAAAAAAAACTAAAAAGTTCTTTTTACATATCTTTTATAAGTTAATTGTTATTTTTATATATCTTATTATTTTTTTAATTATTTGCGATTTTGATTTTACAAATAAAATAAAAATATTCAAGATTCAATCAATTTTATTTATTTTTTATAAAATGTCAATTCATCTTGTATTTTTATTTTATCATTATGAACAATTTCTGAAATTAATGTATTATTAGAATGTAAGTTTACGGTGTTTTATTCAAACTCTAAAATATCATTTAGATTTCTTTGTTTTTCCTTTTTTTATAAAATATTATTTTACAAATTATGTACTATTTGAATTATAATTGATATTAATTATAATATATTTTTTAATAATATAATTAAGTTCACAATTTTGTATCATGGGAATAAGTTGTATATGAAAGAATATTTTGTCTTGAGTATTTTGAAACTTTAAATGGAGGAAAAAGAAATTTCTTATATTAAAATAAAATTATTTTCTTTTATTATTCAAATTTAAATAATTTTTAATATTTTTTCAAATAGAATTAAAAAAATGAGGTATTTATTATCAAATAAAAAGATAAAATATTTATACTAAAAGTAATTATAAATAATTCAAATAAAATTGTTAATCATTTTAACAGTATATGAATGATTGATCCTATGTTATAAATCATATTGACATCTAACTCTGGAAATGTCACTCAAAATAAATTATTTATGCAAGAATAATTTCTAGTGTGAATGAAACCAGACTTAAATTACTGGAAAAATATATTTAAATCTTATTAGTATTTTAAATCTTGATTTTATATGTTATTCATTATTTTAATTTTGATCTTTTATGTTTTCTCAAATAATATTTTATTTATCTTATGTTATCATTTTTTTAACTTAACTCATGTATTATTAAAGACATAAAAGTAAAAAATTAATTATGGTAGGAGAAGAGACTTGTATTAGTTTTATATGTAAAAAAAATAAAAAATCTAATGAGTCATAACAACTTTTAACTATTAATAACTATAGAGAAAAAAAATATATGAGAAATGGTTGTAGCATTAACATCTTGGTCATGCTTCATTTGGATATTTAAAAAAAAATCTTTACTTTATCTTAAAAACATAATATTTATTGTTTTAATCATGATGTTTATAAACTAACAAAGTGTCTTAGAATTTATATCCATTAATTTTAAATAAAATTTTTGAATATTTTATAATGATACATTTTGACGTGTGAGATTTATAAGTGAATTTTACTCATTCGTCACTAACAAATTAGTGATGTTCGTAAACTAAAAAAAGTGATAAAATTTTATTTTCATTAATTTTAAATAAAAGTTATGATCATTTATAATGATATATTTTGATGCTTAAAATTTATCTAAAGTCCAAACATAAGTTAAATCTCACTTTTTGGTTACTTTTATTTAGAGATATCAAAATGATCGATCTAGCCTAACCTTACAGACTAAGTAAAAATGGGTAAAAAAATTAGTCAAACTTATCCTTATGTTAGACCAACGAGCTAACAAATCAAATTTATTTTGATTAATTTTTTAAAAATAAAATATCTATATAAAATCAATTAATTAAAACAAATAAATAAATAAAATATTTTTTAAATTTTATTGATAAAATTAGTATTTATTTTAGATATAATGATTTAATATATAATTTATATGAGAATACATCTGTTTAATCTAAAAATAAGAATTAAAAACTTACTATTTATTATTATTATTATTATTATTATTATTATTATTATTTATTTTTAGTAATTTATTAATTTAAAATAATGATTAATCTTAGAATAAGTGATTATTAGAGATATATTGTGATATTTACTCTTAGAAAAAGTGAATTCCTCTCAAATTAAATTATAATACATATGTATTTTTTAATAAAATAATATTGTTTTTATTTTAAAAATATTATTATTTTATAAAACGAAGTCGGCCCATACAAACTAGTCCGACTTATGCCCATATAGGTCATGATCTAAATAGGGCGAGACAAAATAAGTTTAATTCAATTTAGACAAATTTTTTTTTTTTTGCCTAATCTAACCTATTTATAACCACTTTGGGTCGGTATCTAAGTCAATTTTGATACTCTTATTTTTATTAATAATTATATAAAAATTACTTTTTTATACTTAATAAAATTAAAAAATGAGGTAAATTTATTATTTAAATTTTTTATAAAATGGTAAGAATTGAGTATAATGTTCAAAATCAAATTTTATATAGAAACAATAGTTAAGAGTATACAAATTATAAAATTCAACAATATTTAAAAACTAATGAAATAATCAATCAAATTAATTGTCCCTAGAAAAATGACTTAGTAATATGAGTCTTGTTTTCATCTTACTTGAAATTTAATTACACTTTTCACCTTGAGATAGATTTTTTTAATAATCTTAATATCGTTAAAATTAATTATGATATGATATTATAAATAGAAAAGTATATATTCAACTTTACACAATCGATTTAATAAGATGAAGTTTATACTTATCTTTGTCTTTATATCATATAATGTTTATTTGATATATAATTTTATAATTGTTTATTACTAGTTAAGTTTATTGAATTAACATTGCTTTTAAAATATCCATATTTTAAATATGATATTCCTTTCGTATGTTTAAATATCTCAATATTCACTAACAACATTCATATGAAAATTTACATGAATTAGGCCTAAATTAATTTACAACCTAACATAACATAAATAAATTAGTTTCCTATTAGAGCTTATGGTTATGTTCATGCCTAATTAGTTTCCTAATATAAAATATATTCTTTTGCTTGGTTGAATTTAAGTACCAATAGAGCTTATGGTCATGTTCAATGTGGTATCAATTAGTTTATGAATAATCAATTCAGTTTCAAATAACAAGTATAAAATATATATAATATTAAAAAATCATTTTTTTCCAAATTTATTGTGATTTATTTTTGCTGGAAATTCTCGTCACTTGAGCTTATGTTAAATATGCTGATATAATCATGGATATGAAAAATTCACTTTAAGAAGATCTTCAAATAGGATTAATTAGAAACGGATATATATGAAAGTATAATGTTCTCAAGAAGAAGTAATTGAGCAAGACAATGCAATCTTAAAACTTAACAGAAAATTACAATTTAAAGTATGAATTTACAAAGCATAAAATTGTTAAGAAGGTGATAAGGGAACAATAGCAACACCATGGGATCATACTCCATTTGCATTAATAATGACAAATTCAGAATGATAAATAAGGAGGAAAATGAACATAATTATATAGATCATATAAGTAATATAGTCAATAACAATTATTTTCTTCTTCCATCTTATTATTATTATTTTTACATATAATTTGTATCTTAGATATATGATAAAAATATTAATCATTTTTTATTTTATTAATCGACCTATTTATTTTCTCTCTTAATTATTAATTACTTTGTTAATTTACTCAATTAGATTATCTTTTCTATAATTGTAATCTATAAATTTTAATCATAATTTAAAAATAAAAACAAAGTGAATTTAAATAAAACAATATAATACTAATAA